TTCGTTCCAGAGGTCCATACTTAACCTGAAACTGTTCTTAACCTGAAGCACCACTTTAGCTACTGGGGCCTCTCGCTGCCGCCGCGCCGCCAGAGCACGATTTCTGTTCTCATCCTGAAGCAAAGTTCTTAACCTGAAGCACTATTTCTGGGTTAACGGAGTCTGTAACCTGAAGCATATGTAACCTGAAGCGTATGTAACCTGAGGTACCACTGTATTTAAAATGTATCTCTGGGTTATTTGTGGGGCGTAGAAATTCGTTCATTTCCCACCCCCCTTCAAAATATAGTCTGGCCCCCCACAAGGTCTGAGGGACAGTGGACCGGCCCCCTGCTGAAAAATTTTGCTGACCCCTGATGACATACAGCTTGCAGATTTAACATATATAATAAGAGAACAAGAAGAACACACGTTTAAAAAAGATTGGAAAATGTTTATTGAATATATGGGTGAAAATTGTGTACATTTGAAAACACTGGTAACTTTAAGATAAATTCAACAGTGCAAATAAGTTTTGATGAATGTAATACTGGAAAACTGAATAGTTTGGGTTATGTAAAATATGCAGGGATGTTTGATATACAAATTGAACCATTGAAGGGAAGTCGTCGAATTAAGATTGTTTAAAAGAATATTTAAAAATGTAAATTAGAAAATTAATACAAATTATTATAAAAAAAGAAAAAGTTGGATGGTATACGCCAGGGGAGAGCCCTCTTGTGCTCCCTGGTTTCTCACAACCATCTCATTGGCCACTATGAGAACAGGATTCTGGACTAGGTAGGACATTGGCCTGATCCTGCACACTACTCTTCTGTAAGGATTGAACCTGAAACCTTCTGCAAGCAAAGAAGCTTCCTATTAGCGAAGAAAGTTCTGTTGCTCACGCTCCAGCCCTTTCTTTATTATTTTGCTCAGCGCCTTTTCTAAAGGACAAAGGAAGTGGCCATCTCTCCCCCCCCCACCCCCAACTGTGGATGACAAAACCAGAGACAGTGGTATGTTTAACGCTGAGCGCAGTCCTTTGCCAATCTCTGAAATGTCAGTGCCTGGGCAGCCTGCTGGGCTCTGCGCGGAGTCATGGTGCCAAGTCTGCTAATAAAAAAGAATAAAGGTTAATGAAGGCATTGGGTTATTTATTAGCTGGAATAAAATCGCCTGCTTTTTATCTGTATTGTTTGTTCAAGGCAGAAGGTCTCGCTTTTGATTTTTAACACTATTTTATCCTTCTGTAGCATTTGGGGCTCTGTTACTAGCTAAGACTTAATGTTCTTTCATATATATATATATAATATTCCCCCTTCCCCACAAGATGCATGGATTGATTATGGTGGGTCACCTTGAGAGATAATACTTCACAAGCCACAATGACTCTAGCAGAGAGAAGAAGGAGGTGGGTTGTTGTTTTTTGCTCAGGCTACCCGCCAGTATATTGGGAAAGGCAGCCAGGCTGACTGGCCCAGGACTGGTTCTCACATTCCACTTTCTTCAAAACATGAGCATCTTGGCAGTCAGAGCACAGCAGCACGGTATGGAAGTTGCAAAGTTGCAAAGTACAAATAGTACTTTGAAGTGTGTGTGTGTATGTGTGTGTGTCTGTGTGTGGCTTTTTCAGTCTGCGGACAACCTTCTGCAAGCCATGTGTCAAGGGAGGCAAAAATAGGCATGGTGGCTGCAGCAATGGACATTGCTTTTACCTTTAGCTATATTCCATGCCAAAGTGAGAAGTTTCTGTGCACACACTCCTACCTCCTTATTCCCACCCAGGTAAGCAAGAGGCAATATCATGTTTCCAGGACAAATTCCAGCCAGGTAAAAGCTCTTGAGCAGAATGTGCAGCAGAGTCAGTGAGGGGTGTGGCTTGAAGAGGCAGGGGGAATGGGGGGTGTCCTGAGGTCTAGAGAGGAAGGCATAGAGCATGGGTAGGCAAACTAAGGCCCAGGGGCCAGATCCGGCCCAATCGCCTTCTCAATCCGGCCCATGGACGGTCCAAGAATCAGCATGTTTTTACATGAGTAGAATGTGTCCTTTTATTTAAAACGCATCTCTGGGTTATTTGTGGGGTCTGCCTGGTGTTTTTACATGAGTAGAATGTGTGCTTTTATTTAAAATGCATCTCTGGGCTATTTGTGGGGCATAGTAATTCATTCATCCCCCCAAAATATATATATATACGGCCCCCCACAAGGTCTGAGGGACAGTGGACTGGCCCCATCCTGAAAAAGTTTGCTGACCCCTGGCATAGAGGGTTGTGTTTGGCTTGAGGTTTCCCCGCCTCAGAGTGGCAGTGTTCTAGTCCTCATGAAGTGTTTTGCCCTTTCCCAGTATAACTTTGCTCAGGAAAGGCTGTGGTCCATCACAAAAGATAGCTCTGTGCTCAGATAGAGTTGTTGTTGTATTTATTTATACCTCGCCCATCTGGGTGGCTTCCAGCAAAATATTAAAATACAACAATTCATCAAATATTAAAAGCTTCCCTAAACATGCTTCTGCTTGTCCCATGACTAGAAAGCATGAGTCTGAGAAGTTTTCCGCTTGACCCACTGCTTGACCCACATCCTATGCCCTTTTAAAATGTGGCTCTTTTTCGGGGGGGATGTAATTGGGTTGTGGTTTTATTTTGATTATATATATTGTGGTTTTTATTGATCTTTTCTGCGAACCGCCCTGAGGCCTTCAGGTATAGGGCGGTGTATAAATTCAAGAAATAACAACAACAACTTTCTACGAATGGGTCCAAGCGGTTTTCTCCTTGGCTTGTGCAACGGTGCAATGGCACTTTTTCCCCTGGCGCCATTGGGCCTGCCCTCACTTAAATATAGTGCACCCACCTCACAGAACACCAATTCCACAAATTCCTACAAACTACCCCAGGTTATCTTGTGGGGGACTTGTGTGAGGGATAACTTAATAATTTGGAGTCTCAGGCAGGATTTGATCAAATAAACACGAATGATTTTATTAAATAAAGGAAGTTTATGACACAAAATGGGTGTCTGAAGATACTTCAGATTATAATGTAATTTCACTTCAGTTCTTTCTCAGTTGTTGCACATCTGTTGCCGCTTAATATTTTGGTTTTTAAAAGGTGGTACTTCCTGCCAGTTACACACCCCTTAGACAACCCTACTCTTGAGGTACTCCAAGTAACAGACCCAAGGGATCTCCATACCCCTCTTAACTGGTTTGGGAGTCTCCCCTTTTTGTAGAAGAATCTCTTCCCTCCTGACTGGAACGAGTCCTAAGTAGACTGTATTCTTACAGCTTCTCCTTCTCCTGGCTCAGCCTCAGCTTCCCAGTTAATTCCTGGCCTAATTACTCTTACAGGCCACCACACACTGTCCTTCACACTAAGCTCAGAGACTCCTTTCTGTAGCTTTTGATATATTCCTCAGAGTGGATGTTTCTACCCAGAACTAACTCTCTCTCTTCTCACTCCCTATCCCCAATCTATTCTCCCAACCTCTATCTCAACCTAAAAAACTGTCTCTCCAAATCCTCTGCTTTTCAACCCCCACTCCTGAAACCCTGGCCAATTGGAGGCTGCCATTCGTTGACTGTTTGCTGGCAGGGAAAAAGAAAAAGAAAACACTTGGGGACCCAACCTGCCCAGCAAAACAAACTTTTCTGTCACAGCTTGCTCCTTTCCTAGGGAAAACCTGCTCTCTCTAAATCAGAACAAACAACAATCCACGGAAAACCTGATCGCTGTTTGCTCTGAATAAGTGCTAAAGAACAGCTTTCCCTGGAAGGAGTGTGGATAAGCCCAAAGAGTAACAGGAAAAGTCGAATTAACGCTCAGAGCAGAGGGTACTATACTGGTCCTGAGCGATGAGTTTGTAGTCACTAAGGTACTTTAAAGCCAAATGCAGTGTGTACATATTGTAACATACAAGAATAAAGAATAATAAAAAGAATTTTGGATTTCTAATCACCAAACTGGGAATTTATCAAAGTCTAGTTCCACTCCCACTTTCTTTCCATTGAACTTTAAACACTAAAACCTGGATGTACTCCAGCTGCCTCTAAGAACGTTTTTCTACATCAAAATCCATCTCAAGGAGAATAGGGACAATGAAAGATGTGATCTAGAGGCTGATACAAATATAATATAGTGTGTGCAAGATAATGTTGCGGAGACTCAGGGGATACAGTAAAGGTTTTGAGAGATGTATCAGTGAGATATTTCTGCAAAGACTCAGAAGAGATAACAGAAAATGAAAGGATAATCTGATATCAAACTGTAGAAAAGTGCAGTAAGAAACTGCATTGTGAGGAACTGGATTGAGGAGATTGAGCAGCAAAAGTTAGAGAGACTGCCTGGACATGCCCTCCTGCCACATTTGTTTCTCGTAAGTTTTGGGGTTTTTTAGATTTCTTATATGCCTGTTGCTTAAAAAACAAAAAAATAAGACAACTTACATCAGCTTAAAATATACAAGGCAATAATACGAAACAATATGAATGTCATAGCAGCATCACCAAACCATCCTGATAGACAACACGTCAGAGGTAATCAAATATAAAAGGTATAAAAACAACCACCACATCCCATCAAATGAGCATATTAACCCAGCACTGAAGAAGAAGAGGAAGAAGAGTTTGGATTTTATATCCCGCTTTATCACTACCTGAAGAAGTCTCAAAGCAGCTAACATTCTCCTTTCCCCTCCTCCCCTACAACAAACACTCTGTGAGGTGAGTGGGGCTGAGAGAGAAGAGACTTAAGAGAAGTGTGACTAGCCCAAGGTCACCCAGCAGCTGCATGTGGAGGAGCGGGGAAGCGAACCCCGTTCACCAGATTACAAGTCCACCGCTCCTAACCACTACACAACACTGGTGGCATAGTGGGTGCCAGGCAGTCCTTGCTGGGGAGAGCCTTCCACATATGAAAAGCCGTTACTGAAAAGGTCCTCTTCTCTGTCACTGCCCTCTGAACATTCCTTGGAAGGTGAAGCTGTGGTTGAATATTCGTTGACTATTCTGGTGCAACGTTCACAGAAGGACTGCAGCTCAGTGGCAAAGCATCTGCTTTGCATGCAGAAGGTCAGATTTCAATCTCGGGTATCTCCAGGTGGAGTGGTGATTATTCCCTCTCTGGAACCCTGCCAATCCCCTGCCAGTTAGCTAATACTGAGCTAGGTAGACTAAAGGTCTCAGTATAAGGCAGCTTCCTACATAGGAAAAACACACTTATTTATTAAAGTTGTATACTGCCTGTATACTACTGTATTTGAAATATGAAGGTGGTTTACAGAGCAAGAAAACAACATCAACAACAATATATAGCAATAAAAGCCACTGAGTCTGCTTATACCAAAGCAGACCCACTGAAATTAATGAACCTAACTCCTGTATTTCAATAGGTCTTTGTTTTTTTTCAATAGGTCTTTGTTTTTTTAAGTAAGACTAATATGTTAATCAGCAATGCTACAACATCAGTTTCAATTACAGTAGCTAGAGATGTCAGGAGCCAGTGTTGACAATCATGAAAAATGTGAGTTAAGAATTATGTTTTTCAGTTGCTGGCTGAATCACCCAGCAAGAGGTGCCTAGACGATCTCCTGAGGGAGATCATTTTGTGTTTGATTGTTCAAATACAAAATATACTTTTAGATTTCTTCTTCCCTACCCACCACCCAATGCAAATTAATGTGGGAACAAGATGGAATGCAGTAATGAGTGTGAATTCCATGTGTCTTCTTTCTTGTGATCACTCGTAGCCAAGTAAGATTGTCTTCCATGAATATGGTCAAAACGGTGTGTCCATACGTGACTGTGGAGGCCAATTCTGAATCCACACGTCCTTCCACTGCGGGGACATAGGTTTCCAGGTGGGAGTTGATCATGGTGAGGGTTTGCCAAACATGCCTTCCTCTTAGCTGGCTTCTCCCTTTCGCCCTGAGTTCGTGTTTCTTCAAAGCCCATGATGCCTTTGGTAGAAGCTATTCTCCAACTGGAGCACTTGCAGACCAGTGTTTCCCAATTATCTGTGCTTATACTGCATTTTTTAAATATATATTTGCCTTGAGAGCATCTTTTAACCATGTGAAAGTGGCTTGGACCAGAAAGATCTGATTTGCCGCTACACTGTTTTCCAGTGGTATCAGAAACAGGGCAGGTGTGTCATATGGGTTAGGAAGAGAGGCATGCTTACTCCTGCCTTTGCTCCTCCGCATGAGTAAAGGAGCAAACAGTGGAGCAAACAGTGGATTGAGTTTTCTGAATTCTGTGCACTCCCTCAGCTAAACTTTACTCTCTGTTTCTACACCACATATTTTTATTTTTTGCTTTCTGTCAACATTCATGCACACAAAGTCAATACCCCACAGAAACAGAATGTTCTGCCACTGGTGTATATATAAAAATGACTGATGTAATTCTTCGTCGCAGCAGATAAGTTACTAACTTCAAGTTCGTGTTAGCTCAAACATTCATTGATCACCAAATCTAGATGACAATACAGCACCACTAGCAGCCCGGAATGGATTGTGCTTTTATAACCACAGACTCAATAATCATTTCCTGCTTTTACAGGCATGGCAGATAATTATTTGCACAGGAGTTAGCAGATACCATGGGTGGCTAACTTCAAGAAGGAAATATTAACTCTTGCCAGGGTATAAGACTTTTGGTTGCCGTATCTTGGAAATCCAAAATACCAGGAGCTGGGAGGGTTCTGGAAGTGGGTCTCTCTGTCAGGGGAAAGACCCACAGCTGATCCAACAGGCATCAAGGGGACATAGCCCAGAGTCTTTGGGCTGGTCTAGGATTGGAGGTGTCAGGGACTGGACTGATGAGGAATGGGTGGAGACCACCGCCCCCTCCTCCTGCACTTCCCAGAGAAGAGGGAGACAGTATAGATTTATAACAGTGGTTTGCAGAAGGTCACAGTTCAGAGGCTGGAGAGGGGAGAAGCTGGGAAATATTGGGAGAGGAGCAGGAAGAAGAAGAAGAAGCACCAAGGGTGAGACAGCTGACACAGTGTCTTTAGAAAGCATTGCAGACTCCCCTTCTCCCAGAACCCAGCGGGCATGGAAAGTAGGAGAACAGAAAGCTCAGAGGCAGAAAGCACAGATCAGCCAAAGTAGGGATGATGTATAATAGGAGAGGCAGAGGGGGTGGGGCTTTACTTGCAGCAACGCCATTACTGCAAGAGAGGCACTTTTCGAAGTCCTAATGGGCACCAATTGGCAATGTCTGAGGGGGAAGCAAGATGGCTTGAAGAAGGAACTCATTTCCGAAAGGTGTAATTTATTTATGTTATTTAAAAAAATTCCACAAAATAAAAATTGGAAGCAACACAAGGCCTTGGGGGAGCCAAGGGAGACTACCATGCTGCCCATATTTGTGACCAATATCCTGCCAAGCCTCTTAAACTTTATTGGAGACCACTTTCAGAAGTCAGTATAAGATAGACCCTACACACCTGTCCCAAATATCAAATGGAACTATATTTTGGTAACCATCATTTTTTGTAGAGAGAACATCACAGCTCCCTCAAGTCCGTCTCCAGAAACTCAGAACCTTTTCTGCTTTAGATTCAACATGGATTTCTCCCTTTTTGTTTAGTTGTCAAAATTAGATCTTATTAGAATTTGGAGAGAGTTTGGAAGGCAATCCCTTCCCTGTCCACCCATCAGGTCTCCTATTTCCAAATGGCTGGTAACTCCAAATAGCAGCATTGTGTTGCTTTATTGTACATCTTTCACATTGCCGATGACAATATGAAGGTTACAGTTGTTATTGCTTCAGCTTCCAGCAGCGAAAGGAAGATCAGTCACTATTATACTCAAACAGGAAATTGTATATAATGATAATTATTAGATATAGTTTTCTGAACACAGTAACTAAACTACAGCAAGCACCCAATAATAGCTATTAAAAGAGCTTCCCCAACACTCTCATTTTCCTTTTTTATTTTTATTTTGGATGGTCAGACCTAATAAAGCTTTGTGCTTGAGTTCAGATAAATGCCCTTGATCCAAATCCCTAGAGAAGTCAATGCCTCAGGTTGACCCAGAAGACCTCGCAACGGTTTTGCCACTCAAACCCATTTCTTGTGCTAGGGCTTAGCCTTGAGAAATACAAAACAATATCAATACAATGCAAAATAATCAATGCAAAATACAAAATAATTCTAAGCATGGAAAGACCCCTTCAACATTAACTATATCTCGACACCACATGTAAGGTCCCACCAGACTAGGGTGGGAATTTGGTGTGCATTCTGCAACAGGTCATTGATGCAACAATAACTTATTAGTGGTGGATTTATACTGGACTGCCCACATATCATTCTGCTTTGTTACTTGTTATGTGATCCTTCCCCATAAATATCATTGCATAAATATCATTGCTATCCAAAGGACTCTCTTGCACTGTGGGGCAATGAAAGAGGAACAAAGAACCTTACAAGGTATGAGGTATATAAAGTTGCAGGATTTCAGCTGTAAGCTGCAGGGAATGCCTGATTAGAAATGAACCAGTACGTCTGTCCCAGAACCTTTGCAGTACAACCACCCTGATACCATTTGCTTTTGTTTTATTGTGTATTTTTATTTATTTATTTGGATTTTTCCTGTTGTGAACTGCCCTGTAATCTTTGGCTAAAGGGCAGTATTCAAATTTTAACAACAACAACAACAACAACCAGTTCCAATGGGCACCAGCCAGCCATGCATAGCACGACACAACAGCTGATTTCATCTTGTCCCTCTCTTGTCCTCTATCTCTCTTAATACTACGCTCCTTATTGGCTTACTAATGTAGGCGGCCATTTTTTTAAAAAAAGAACGATTTGGCTTTCCCTCAAAATGATGGATAATCTCACTGGAAAAGTTTGACAATGACAGACAGATACATCGCATGTGAAGAGGTAATAGGAAAAGCAGAGGCGTTGATCGACAATGTGATGGATAAGCCCTTAAAAGCTTATCCAGATTAACGCAAGAATCTCACACTCTCTTCAGTGGTATACCATCTCCCCTACATGTGTTATGTTGTCCTACATCCAGCTGAAAATTTTCTCAAGACTCTGACCTTGGGGGAAAAACCTCTCCGGCATTATAAGAAATCAGATGACAGATAGAGGGTTGTTTTCACAAAGGTAAGTATTTATTTCAGGGTTTCAGAGTTTCTTAGGTCAAAATTGGGATGGGCAAAATCTCTTGATGCCAGTTTTTCTCCATTCCTCTTTCTCCTAGACTTAAATTCTGTCCTCCGCATTCTCACATCTGTGTGCATTTTTTTAAAGTCCTCACAAAAAATCACCAGTGTTTTAGTGTGCACATCTTCTAATGTGTGCATTTTTGCATGCACTCTCCTCCTATATAATGTATGTATGTACACTGGTTTTCACCAATGCATGCATTCTTATGCACACTTTCTCCTAACATACGTACACATTTTGGGTTGGAGAAATATACCACGAAATTCAGAGAAGTGCAAATTTCAAAGGATGGCTGCGGTCTGGCTCTTGCATTGTTTTGGGAACAGCAAATTAGGTAGGTTCACATTAGAATGAAAGTTAATACCGAGCATAGCAGAAGGATGGCAAATTAGTTCAGACTTCTCCCTTCAAACGTGGTTGGAAGAAAGCTCTGCATGCCGCCACCTCTGAAAAGCTAACCTACTCATTAAGAGTATCAAGAGGCAAAACTAGACCAACAGATTATGCAGACACATAGAGGCTATTTTTGACATATATCAAGGAACAGATTCATGATTGGCAGATTCCCAGTAAGTTTGAATTTATTTGGTATTGATCATGTATGGCTATCCATTTCTACCCACCTCCCTCTTTTGTCAAGCATATTCATACTTTGAGCTGACATTATTACATAGTGTTTCTTCGCCAGCCATATGTCCCAGTTAATGTATGTTGTCTGCTGAAATGATTAATGCAATGTTGTTTTGGGGTTGATGGTTGGGTTCCATTGAGATTTGATTCGAACATTCAATAAAACTTAAAAATAAAATAAAAATGTGAAGTTTTTTCAGCTGATCAATTCTCATGAGGATTTTTTAAATTAAAAAAAAACCCCACAAAATGCTGCAGAAATGTGCAGAAC